AAATGGGGAATATAAAAAAACAAGCTTTTTTCAATAGATTTATTCGAATCTAAGCCAAGAAGATTAACAATAGATTACTTGCTTTTTTATGTATAATGTAGTTAGTTTTTTATGCAAATAGTATTTTGTATTTCTCTTGACTATATTTTCCGTCAATGGTTTGTTTAATTAAAGCAAATACAAAAAGAGTTTTTCGTAAATAATAAATAAATAAAATTATGTTAGCATATTTACTTAAGAGAGTCAATATATGGTTTGATATATTTTGAAATTTGCATTTATTTAAAACCAAGTTGAGTAATATGCTCAAAGTATCAATGGGAACGAAACACGGTCACACTAAAGGGGTGGCATTGGGACGGCCATTACAAAAACGTATCATATCGAAACCCACAAGGAAATCAGCAGCTACAAACAAATGTTATTACCAGGCCAGAGCTCTTCATTTGTCCCATTAAAATGTCAGTCAAAGGACTGACATTTTGCATGGGCCATAAAAAAGAACCGACTCGGACATGTTGCCATAAAAAGTATTGAATTGTACACGCGTGTAAAAAAAGAAACAAGTGCGCTTGCATAAGCGTGTAAGTGTATTGACGTGGCTGTGTGTGTGTGTGTATGTGCGTGTGTGTGTGTGTTTGTGTTTGTATTTGTGTGTGTGGACATATTTTCCAAACGCATTTGGTGAACAATTAAAATTAAAAATTCATGCGCATTGGCAACTGCAAGTTGGGAAAATGTTTGACAAGCCTGACACAAATAACGACAGGGCTCTACATACAAATATATATGTAAATACATATATATATAAATATATGTACATACTCGTATGTATATGCAGAGCGACACACAGGCAATTTATTTTAAATACAAAAACAGCAGCATACTTGTCACATACTACATAAATATACATATACGAGTACATATGTATAAAGACACAAATACTCGTAGGTATGTACACAGATATGGTCATGTACGAGTGCATTCAAGTATTTGGTATTCAATTTAAATTTTTAATAATTTTCAAAATTGATGAGTGGCCGCACACAGACATTGGACAGAGAATAGAGGGGTGTTGTTGTTGGCAGATACAAAGAACGTAAGCCAACAAGCTAACAAAGCCCAAAAGTAGGAAGGCCAGAAGTAACTGGCCATGGCAGCAGCAATAGCCACTAAAGACTAACCAGAGCTTTCCATTTGATTTATTATGATAACTGAATGGTCACACACATGCGAGGTCAGATTGACAAGTTGGGCAGAAAGTAGATCTTTGGATCTTATGTTCATTTTCAAATTTTTCCCATACCGAAACACAGCGCCATTCCCCGTACCCATTAACAACAGACAATAGATTACAAATTTGAACCATCAGCCCTAATCGTATTATCTCCGTTAATAGAAAGGTATTTGGTGTTTCTTTTTTTTTTTTGATTGCTGCTTAGTTGTGCATTTATTTTACTTTAACTTACATATTTTACTTTCTGTATATATATATATTATAGGAAGAGAAAAGTAATTTGAAAACACATTCTACATGTATGTATTGGTTTTAATCCTTTTCGCTTAACAAGCGTGGAGATTGCGGAGACACAAACATAAGACTTTCTTTCCTGTAACAAGCAATGCCTTCCAAAAAGATGATTCCTAATACAAGAATTGTAATAAAAGAATTACAATGCAAGCTCGCCATTATTCATAACTTGATTGTTAACTTCTTGAATTCCTCTCGTACATGCATATATACATATATATCCGTATTAATGTGTGCGTACATATTTATGTGTGTATTTGTATGATTGCTTTGGGCTGAGCACAAAACGAAAAGCCAAATAAATTTGATTTGTGGGTTTTGAGCACAAGTTGGCATTGAGGAGCTGCAGAACGAACATTCCAGCTATAAGCATAACTGGTCAGAGTTTTTGGTCGAAATTTGAGAACAACAACGTGCCTGGCATGTCTTTGCCGAAGTGTCTGGCTTTATCGCAAATTGAAGCACTGTCTTGTCATTTCAGCAACACACTCAGCAATCTGTGCTGAGTTTTTAAATAATTAAAATTATATGTCACATACTCTTAGGCACAATGCATGCAAATCCATTTGTCTCTTTCGAGCCATTTGTGCGTTATGGCTTGGCTAAACATTCATTTTCCACAAATTTCATTTATTCAAGAGACAAAGTCTGAGCGCACCAACAACAATAATGAATTATGAAAGCGTGGGGTTGGGCGGACCTCTGGTAGGTGGTGGATGGTGGGTGGAACTTTGTGGGTTAACTTGTCAGCAACAGCAACCAATTCCATTTGGCTCAGTTGTCAATCAAAGTTTTGTTGGCGACAACACAAAGCAAAACTGGGGAAATCTGCGAGTCTAAAATACAAACACAAGCGACTGGCCAATTTTTGGGTCCCTGCCTACTGCCTGGTTAGTAATTTCTCTTTTCCGGAACTTTGGCAAAGCCTTTAAGTGCCAGCAAAATGGCGGAGAGTGGCGGACGCCGGCATTAAGGGGTTAAACGGCGGCTTGTTCTTTGCCCTGTGGATTTATGGAAATTTTACGCGTCTAATGAAAATTCAATTTCAATTCAATTCGAATTGGAAATTGCTTAAAGTTAAATTGATTTTCACTTTGAAGTCGCGCGAAATGAAAACAAAACGCGTTGTCTGCGGCTGACAGCCCTGGCCAGAGTTTTCGATTCTATTCTCTTCCAGTTCTGAATCGCTCTCCCGGCCTCTTGCTTGTTCCCTTTTTTGCATTTTCTTGCCATTTTATGCCATCACTATGCTTCGGCCATATCCACTTTTATATCGGTATAGATGTTGTGTGTGTGTGTGTGAGTTGCGGTATCGTTTAGTTGCTGCCCCTGTGCGTGCCCATTATGTGTTGTAATTTATGCAATTAGCTCGATTAACAGGTTTCTCTTGTTACTCGTATTTATGGCAGAGCGCTGGTCCTGAAGAAGGAAGCACGGCACGACAGGACAGACGAACAGCAAGACCTTATCGAATGCGTAGGAATACAACCCGATACAATGCTTGGTAAAATGTTGGGACTAACTAAATATAATTGTTCAGGTTTCTGAAACCATCCAGCTTATAAATTTATTTCTTATTAATGTTTTAAAAGAAGGCAATTAGTTGAAAAAACTAAAAGTTTTGGAAGGTAGGTGCAGAAGGAACTAATAAACCAATCATATTTTTAACATAAAAGAAGTTTGAATGTCAAACGAAAATTGTCTACAGTATTTTTCCTTGGCCGGCTCTAAATCAATATGTGTATATATACACAATTTTAAATATATTAACATTTATTTTTTAAATACTTTAATACAAGAATGACAGACAGAATTCATATTCTAAGAGTAGAGCCCTCACATTACATTGTTCTTGCTGCCTGTTTAGTTTCCTTGAAGTGTCAGAACTTAGAGAGTCGAATAGCATTTGAATTTGTTTTGTTTCAATAATAATGGAATAGCATCAATAATTTAAAGGTTATTTATTTTATTATTTCTGACAAACATTAATATAAACAGAATTGGAATCGGAAATCTAAAGTCGTTCGTCTGAATTAGATTTGAAATGTTTAATAAAGCGGCTTAAAAACAAAAAAATCTTTAGTTCTAATGTAAAATAATTTAAGTTCGTTAGCAAGAATTTTTAAGAATAATAATTTCAATTGATTTAATTTGCTTTATTTTATGTAAAGCGCTTAGATCTATTGCGGCTCTTTAGGCTGCCCTTTTTCAAATTTGTTTTTCCTCTATGAACGAATCTAGAATTCTGGCTAGCTGTGTTAGTAAGTTCGTGGTAGCTGGTATGTGTGCCAAGCCAATTTTCATAGTCCGCCCAGCTCTGGGCTGAGTGTCCAGCCCTGAACACGCGCATTAGATCGATACCCGTATATACGAGCATTGTCCTGTGCGCTATTAGTGCTGCCTTTGTGGTTGTTGTTGGTGCTGTCTTTGGTAAGCCAGCCGTAAACGCGTAAGTATGTACGTCTATGGCATAATTGGCGTAATTGTTCTAATTTAAATGTTTATTTTAATTGAATTTGTACTTAGCATGTTGTTGTTGGGCAGTTTGAGGGCAGTTTAAAGTTGGCTTTTTATAAACCTGTGGAGACTTATTTTGGACTGTCATGGCAACTGTGTAACGATTTTTGTGTGGCCAAAACAACAAGTTATAAACATACAGACTAACATACCAACGAACCAACGAAGCGAAAGGACGACGCACGACGAGAGTTCTAGAGAGCTAGGGAGTCAGCTAGCTAGCTAGCTAGAAAGGTAGAAAGCTCGCTAACAGCTCAGCACGAAGGACGCAGGACGCAGGCCGACATATCAGTTAGCGAGCTAGCACGCAAAAATTCCTTCGTGGTTAGTTGGTTGGCTAGGATACCCGACACGTTGCCAACACCCAAAACAAAAACAACACGCCTTGCTAGTCGCAGTTGGCCTGTGGTCGAAGCAGCAGCAACTGACAGCAGTGGCAATACTTGTAGAAAGCGAAAAAGGTGAACTAACATTTTAGAAATTTTCACTGTTATATAAAGAGTGACCAAAAGCACAAAAACAGAAAAACCAAAAAGAAGAAATTAATCTAAAACTAAATTAAACTAAAAGCAATGGTGACATAATGCGACAACCTAATCAGAATTTTCAACTCGGAGCTGTGGCAACATGTCCTTGAGTCAAAAGATCTATAAAATCAGGAATTACACACAAAAGATTTGCCAAAAGTTTGCTGTAAAATTGGGCAAGGACGCGCGCCGATTTGTCTAAATGTAAAAATTGCTCGCTCCTTATAAAACATTCAGTGGAAAAGAAAATGAAGTAAATACATTTGCATATATTTTGTGCAGGAACAAAGCAGCCAGCACTTAGCCCCTCACACAGACAAAGAGAGTGTGTGTGTGTGTGTGCTAGTGTGGGTGTGCGTGTCTGTCTGTTTGTCAGTGTGTAGGTGTGTGTGCGTGGCAAGTGCGTACAACGCGGCGTATACGCGACGTGGCAACGCGTAGCTAAGCAACGCGCCTCACAAACAAACACGCAGCAAGGCAAACAAGCAAGTAAGTAGCACCTCCTACCTATATAGTCGTACTTGTATATACATATTTACATGCCCATATCTGTATATATATATATATATATATATGTGTGTGTGTGTGCATGTATGTGTACATAGAAGTGTATATGCTCGGCATATAATTATAGCCATGTGCAGGTAGCCGAGCCGAGCCAAGTCATGCAACACTTTGCTCGATTTGTTTAATCGATTTTTTCGTTAGCTTTTGTGTACGCCTAGCAACGATGCTTTGCATATAAGTAGAACTGAACTATGCTTGTGGACTGGATTGTAGATGCAGCTCAAAAATTGCCTTTATTATCGCAAATTTGTAGATAAATAACAGAGTCGGGGTCACGCAATTTCTCTGCTCCACTCATCACTTTACTTCGCTGCAGTCGAAGGCATTGGAGCGTAATAAATGCTTCGCACAATACCGACTACATACCTACTTCTGCATATATATACGAGTATATTTGTGTGTATGTGCGCGGTTAGCTGTCAGATTTATGCGCCACTCTTTAGACTATAAGTAATAAATAACGACGATGAAAAACAGGCAGAAGAGGAAGAAGAACAACAACAAAAAGAATTGCACAGAAAATTAACATAATTGCTTGCATTATAAGTGCAGCAGGCGATGGCCGACAGCTTACGGCTTCTTAAACGGAACCAGCAGCTATTAAAACTTTAAGAAAACGGAATCAGACATTGGAAAAAAATAATCCCAAAGGGAAAGTTATAGAAGCAACGCAGGAATACCCTGTGGCTTACAAAAAATTCCAAAGTAATTTCAGATTCATTTTGCAACTATTTTGATACAAAAACAAAAACACAAAAAGCGCTTAATTGAAGCAATTTTTCAGTTGAAGGTGCGCTTTGTGGCGAAAGTAAATATTTTTGCTTACAAATCTAATTATGGCAATTTAATTTTGCTTTTTCATTGAACAAATATTACGCATTATTTGAAGGAACTTTAATTTGCTTAAGTCGATCTTTGAAATATGAAAAGGGATATTTGTAAGAAAAGAAATTATTTGAAACGTTCATGTTTGCAAGAAAACCGGCGTATACTTGTATGTTAAATGCTTTTTCTAACTTTCTCTCGTAAGCTCGTCGTTAAAGAAATAAGACCTATTAATCTAAATTTAAAGAATTATAATTGGCAAATATAAAATAACATAAAATATAATATAAAAGTTTCTAGGAAAAGAAAACGACTAGTATAAAAGCGGAAATGATCGTATAATATATTTTATTTTAATAGTGCTGATAAAAGAACTTATTCAATTCGGAGGATCTTTTTAAGCACGTTCCATATTTTTCAAATGAAATAGTTACTTTATTAAGCATTCATGTGAATTCTGACGCCCATTTGATTCTGAATTTTTCAAGGGCAACCTTTCTTCATTTCTTTCTCCATTTGAAGTTTTTTAAAGCGTAGCTACATAAAATGGACTATAATGTCCACATAATTCAAAACTCCCTCGTGTGCAGATTTCATGGCTGTAGAGTAGAAATAGCAGTGTTTAACAGTTAAGCAACTTTAAGAACCTTTTGCAAAACATACAAATGGAAATGGAAATGGTCCAAAAGAAAAGTGGCAGCCATTCAGACCAAACGGGAATTGCGGAGAACGTCGACAGCAACGTTGGCTGTAGCTGAAGCGTTAAGTGAGAGAGCAACTACTTGTATATATATACATACATAGTATATAGTATATATACCTATAGTTTTTCCTCTTCATGGTCTGTCAATTAACACGGCTTTTGCATTTATTCAATATGAATTGAGTGGGTCGACTGGGCTGCTAGGCGGTCCACGCTAAAGCAAATTAGTTTCGTGGAAGCGTCTGGGAGTTGGACCGAACTGCAGCATTTCATGCAGTTCATTACACGTTGCAAATCCTTGGCGGACTCACACATACACACATGCACATATACAGGCGCACTCACTCACAGATGGACGCAATGTTCATAAAAGTAAACTGGAAAACTGAAAAACTGAAAAACAGTAAAATGCCTGCGAGAAAGTTTTACTCGCAGCAACAGCAGCAGTCGAGAGACGAGATCTGCTGTTTTGTATTTAAAATACACACACTATTACACAGTGTGTGATTGTCTGTATTCAAGTGTGTGTGTGTGAGTGTGTGTGTGTGATGTCTTTGAGAGGCTTAAAGTGCTCTGTTCGGCCTAAGGATACACATAGGCACTCGGCCGGGCCCAAACCGTCGAAACTGCAGCACACAAAAATGGCACGTAGCCATCTTTAGTGCAGCTAGCATGTCCATGTACTTGTGTGTGTGTGTGTGTGTGTGTGTGTGTGCGAGTGTGAGAAACTCATATATGCATACATTTAAGCACGTGTATGTGTGCCTGTGCCATTAGACTGGATGTGCTTTTCGATATTTTAAGTCGTTTCAAGCATGTTGGGAACTGACAGAAAGATTTTGAAACCGATTTTATTATGATAAAGAAATATAACAATTGTTATCAGAACTATTTGAAAAAAATAATAGGCAAAACCAAACTAAGAATAATGATAACTATATCGAGTTTTAACTGAAAAAAGAATCAAACAGCCAAAAGGCCAATTGAAGGATGAGTTTCTTAATTGTTTTCTAGGGTATTTCTTGATATATTAAAAGTACATTTAGAGCTACGAGTAAAATCCATTATAAAAATTCAGATTAAAAAACAACGTCGGTGATGATGTTTTTCGTAGTTGGGGCGTATCCAATTGTGGTCTAACTTTAGAAAATGAACACACAAAAACAACAACACACAATTGTAAACTGTTCTTTATATACACAGAAAAAACAAGAAATAAACTAATTTGTAAGGCCAGCAGTGCGTTCAAAGGTAATAAATTATTCAAGGCTATCAGAAACTGTAAAAATTATTCAACAGTTTCAATATGCAAAGTTAACTTTAAAGTGAAAAAAGGAGTATAGGAAAACTATGAAATGCGAAAACCAGTTATTTTTGTACTTTTAAGTTGCTTTTCAACCATAAGAATCGAAAACATTTTGTTTGCTTTGAAACTTACGCCCACAAAGCATGTTGAATATGTGAAAGCAAAGAATATTTTTGACTATTAAATTTCAAAATGCATTCGTTTGCTGCCTGTTAATAAACAAAAATGTTTGGGATGCCTTCTAATTTGTGAATGTGTAATTCAATTTGGGAGCGAGAAACAAACTTTGTGCTTTTCAACCATATACATTTTCACATCCTTTGCCAGTCCAGTCTACAGTTTCGGAATTTCGGAGGCAGTCCGTGGCAAATAGACATGTGTATGCAGTTATTGTTGGCACATATAACATAAATCGACTCGCTGCATGGGGCGCACATTGTGATGGGAATTTTATGGGAGACAGACAGAAGGAGGAGGAGGAGGAGGGTCAGGCAGGAGACTGGCAGGGAGATGGAGCCGTAGATGTAGACGAAGTCGCCTTGTCAGGCACGACACATACGAAATATGCTTAAACAAGCTCCCGGCTATTAGCACTGCCACTCTCTATGCTTGCAATGCAGACGGCAGCGAGCCATTTGCTTTCAACGTGCGGCACTGCACACCAAATACGGGAATAAAAGAAATAGAAGTGAAAACGTAAACGTAAAGGGAAAGGCGAAATGCGAAATGTGAAATACGAAATATAATACACACGCCACTAGAGCACCACACTACTAGACTACTACTCCAGATTTCGTGACTCGGCGTTGAAGTCTTCAATTTGCAGCTCCGTGTGAATGTGTACGAGCACATATTCCTATCTGCCTGTGTGTGCGTGTGTGCCACGTGCAATCAGCGTGCGACTGGCACTCGAGTGCAACGACTAGGCCAGCCAATCCCAAGCCCATGCCCAATTCCAATCCCTGCAGCTACTAGAGTCGGGCACGTTGCATATGGAAAGCTGCACTTTGCATTGCAGGCAGCGCTCCACTGCATAAGACACTCCCGGAATGGAGCTAACGAATTGGGTCAGAGTTCAAATGCGATAAAAATCAACATGGAAATGCTGAAAGTGCACACGACATTCCACAGTGGTATGGATTACCCAATCTAGCAGGCTAATGCCAATTCTCATGGTTTCCCATTCCGATAAGCCAAGCTGGAGGAGAGGAGCGCCTGCCTCAGTATTTTCGAGCGTGAACGTGACAATCCGCAAAAAGTTCCACTTCTTGCAACTTATGCAATTCATTACTATTTTCTTTTATTATCAATTGCTAATAGTGATCAATACTTTCTGCTATTATTATTAGGTATAATAATATATAAAGTTTATTTATGATTTAGATATTGTGTAAGGAATTTTGTATTCTATTCATTTAAAATTATATAAAACCATTGATAGTTTGACTTCCCGTCAACTTAATATAAAACAGCATGGCCTATAACTTATGTAGATGCCATTTGAAATGTTTTAAAACAGAATTAACTGAAACGATTCTAAAGTTTGAATTATTTCCAATTACCCTACAATGCTCACCACTGTGCGTTGATGCTGCTATTGCCTTTGGCGAGCTCCTGGTCGCCAAGAAGCACACTTGTCTGCGCTTTCTGGATGAATGGCTGCCTATATACGAGTACGAGTCGAAATATAGATAGACTCGTACAAATATGTGTCGGTGTGTGAGTGCGCGCGGAAGGATAAGGAAGCCATTTTTATTGCTTCTCGAAATTTAAACATTTCCATTTTAATTGACAGCCCGTCGATGTTGGCTTTGCCAACTCTCAAGTTTGTTGTGACTACGGAAATTGCTGCAAATTATAGGATCTCGAGCTGTGTTGCTGTTGATTGAGTGTATTTGTGTGTGTGTGTTTATTTGTGCCGAGCACGAAAGGAGTTTTTTAATTCTCCTCAAACAGAAACTGTGCCAAACGTCTGCAGTTGATAGCGAACGTGCTATTTACTAAATAACTGCGTTTTTAAAGCTGACAATGTGAAGTGAAAATGGAGAGCAGTTGAAGGCTATCTTAAGTTGCGCAGATAATGTGATTTATTAATATATAACTCAGATTCTAAGCAGCATTTATGTGTATTCTGAATCGCTAGAGCGTAAAGGTTCCTACAAACATTAACCATTCAGGAAATATTTAACTTTTCTAAAATTCACGACAAAGAAACATTTTGAATTTTCTAAAAACTAATTTGAAAGTTAACTAAAAATTGATATAAAGTATATCTACTAGTTTTTATTAAAAACTAGTAATAGTAAATAGTTTCCAAAACTTATTTGAAACTTAACTGAAATCCGGATGCATTAAGTTTTGACTGAAAACGTTTTCAGAGAAATATAATTTTTGATAGGAAATAGTTTCCAAAACTAATTTGGAAGTTAACTGAAAATTGATGAAAAGTATATCTACAAACTTTTGATTAAATAGTCTCCAAAACTGATTTCAAAGGTACAAAAATTTAAAAGTTGTTGATTTACAAACGCATTAACTTTTGATTAAAAACTAGTGATACTAAATAGTTTCCAAAACTAACTTAGAAGTTAACTGAAAATTAATGAAAAGTATATCTACAAACGCATTGTATTTTGACTAAAAACGTATTCAGAGAAATGTTATTTCTGACAGCAAATAGTTTCCAAAACTAATTTGGAAGTTAACTTAAAAAAAGTATTTAGAAAAGTGCATTACCATTAAGCAACTCTTTTCTTACATTCTTAATGATGTGTTTTTAATTTTTATTGCTTGGTGATAATAGTATGCAGAATATAGCACAGTTTTTCGATATAATAACGATCCAGAGAAGTTCCTACAAGCACTACCCCTATCTTCTTTTTGTTGAAGGGTACAGTATGGTAAGCGATATTTTGTTCATAGTTCTGCAGTCCCTGCAGACTTTGTTTATTCTATTAGCTTGACTTTACATGCACATGCTGCATTTCCCGAAGCCATTCCCCCCACCTTTTTGGCCCAACAAGTGCCGCCCAGGCGTACAATTTCGACGGTCTTTTTGTTGTAAACGAAGCAGCAACTGCAGCGACAAAATTGGCTTAGAAGGCCCAGACTCGGCCTCTCCAGCCCTACAACAATGCGAACAACAAACAGCAACAACAAGAACGACAACGCCAAGAAGTGTAACAACAGTAGCCACAATAACAACAACACCAACAACAGCAGCAGCAGCAGTAGCACTTTATGGCCATGCAATCCACAGTAACATAAAAGAGCCGACAGTGGACGGCATGCTTTAAAATGCAACTCTGTGTTTGGCACTATGGCGGATTTCATTAAAAATTTAAACAACATATGGTAAATTTCCACAGAGTAACGGAACAAGCGGCAGCAAAAACATGGCCAGAACCCAAAATTGTAAAAAAGGAGCAGCAAGAAAAAACAATGACCAACATGGCTAAAAAGCAAAATGACCAACAGTGTAAAAATGACATTGTTTTGGACTGCCAGCAGCCAAAGGAGGCTAGGGACGAACTTGTGGGGGCACATTGGCGAGCGGGGGTGGGGGTGGAGGGGATGGTACTAAGGACTGCCTTTGAGCGCTGCGCTGTTGCGGCGTTGTAATAAAATTAGTTGCAAGTTGCTGTTTTTGCCCCTTTCTTGTGGGCCTTTTTGGCAGCCGAGCGCCACCAGCGCGTCGTCCTCCCTTTTGCATAAATGCAGTTTCTGCCCAAAAGAAGAATTTACGAGTGCCGAAACACAATTTACAACAATGCATCAGTGTATGTGTCTACTATGTGTGTGTGTGTGTGTGTGTGTGTGTGTGTGTGTGAAACTAGCGATCTGGGCGGCCTGGACGAAACGCAAATTGATTTGCGAACGAACAGCAGGTGCGATACAGGGCTTGCCACACGTTCCAGTGGAGGGCAGGGGAGGAGGAGCAGGAAAGGCAGGAGCAAGCGTTAATTGCAAAAGCAATTTGGTAAAAAGGATGCAGCAGTTACGGCTCCATAAAGAGCCCGCACGACAAACGGTAATTAGTCGGAGCGGATCTGCTAAAGAAAATAGTCGCAGCACTAAAGCTCAAAAGAAATGTCTTGCATACGAAAACACACCCATCGACGTATGTATATAGCAATAAGATTAAGTATATAACTGCTGAAAAAAAAGTATAAAAAATTAATCAAATGGAGGAAGCAGGAGCAAACGAATCAGGAGTGGAGCTCGTTGGCAACGTCCTAACGAAAATCAAAGATAAATTGAATTGAATTGCAACGAGATCGAGCGCATTTGGCAATTGCTTTGAAATAAAACTAAAAGCCAAGGCATAAAGGTGTAGGGGAGTGGGGATTGGGGGGTGGGGGGTGGGAAGCGATGGGGTGACAGCTGCAGTTGAGATCAAAAAATAAAATAAAAAAAGGTCGATGGCAGCTGCATCGGGCACTTTCCAAAGTGTGATGTGTGCATCTCAAATGCATCAATTTGAGGCAACTTGGGCAGCTGGCAGTGCGGCAATTTACTGAAAGAACTTGCTACGAGTATATGCTTCAAGCTGAAATGTTCTACAAAATTAAGCAGCTGCAATGCAATTGGGTAAGAGGTTTTTAAATCTAAGCCATAAAAGGTCATTTAAGGCAACTGAGAAAGTGATTTGATAAGCACATCAAGCAGCTTAAGCTCGTAAATCTTTAAATGCAGCTGAAAAATGATTTGGGTATAGAAGTGATGCTACAAGTATTTCGTTAACAAATTATTGGAAGTACACATTCATATCAAGAATGTTTATTATAAACATAGTTCCATGTAATATTAATTAAATTATTAGGATAGTAAAGTAAGAATGGCGTTCTAACCGATTGTACTGGGAATGAGTTATTGCTAACGATAAAAAACAAATATATACAAAAACAAACCATATATTATAATATAATAATATGTGGTTTGAAAAGTTAAGTTAAGTTAAGATTAAAAGTATATTTTACAATTCTGTCCTTATTCTTATGCTACATATCCAAACAATCAAGAAAAATTAGTATTTCAAGTGTTTTCAAAAGCTTTTAATATTGTGAGTAGACATCAATAAAAAAACCTATGAAATACATACTCGTATGTATTAACCGATATTTTCTATATAAATTTTTCAAACAAAGGTGCTTTTCGGTATACCTTGAAGATACATTTTATATGCAATTCTAAGAACTATTTTATTCAATATTGCTTTATTTAAATGTATTCTATATTTATACTTTTATTTCAGATCTCGCCATACCAGCATAGCAGCTGATGTTTTTAGAATTGTTGACTGGGTAAGCGAATTATTATAAAACATAATTTATTATAGTGTATGTCTAGTTTTCTTACCATTGTTATTGTAATGAAGAGCAGTATCTAACACATTTTCTAAAATCCGACTCCCAGACCTCTAAATAATTGCGAGTCGCAGATCTCAATCGGTATTCGAACATGGCTAATTATATTTCAGCATGATGATAAGCCCTATACAATATGTTTGTATGTGTAAATACGTATAGGTATGCAATCATAACTCACGGCTACTCAGCAGCCGGCCAATTAATTTAATCGCCTTTAAGCTTCAAAAACAAACTGAAATTAATTTGCATTGAATGCGATGCCGATGGACGGCGATGTAATTAAGAGACACGCGGATCTACGCGCGACGTTTTGATGTTTTAATCTCAAATGCAAATGTGCAGGAAATCATAAATTACAAAAACAGCAAACAGCAAATAGCAGACGTGAGACGAGAGACGGGAGCCGATAGACATGAGACGACAAACTTAAGTGCTATATGCACTGAGTATATTGAGAAACCACAAAGGTGAATGAGCAAATGACCACCACAAAAGAGGTAAAGTCGAATGGTCAGCAACTCAAATGAATAAATTAGACATACGGCCAACGACTTGAAGAGTTGCATTACTATATTTCCAAAGGCTTGTAATTAATCCATTAAATGGACACTCAGGCATGATGGCTGGGCTCTTCGACTGCGGTTTCCAGCTCAAGTGCGTGGGCTTGTGGCTGTCAAGAAATTGAATGAGCCAGCGCTGTGGCCAAGCAGCACAGCTTAAGAGCCGCTTAACGGATTTAGGCTTTAGGTGCCAATTCAATCGCATCGCTCCGAGCCACCCAAAACGTTTGCCAACGCGTAGCGGTAAAAACGTTTCAAGTCAATGCAGAAATCCACTTAATGCCTCAGACAACCAGAAAGTGAACTGAAACCCAAACAAGAAAAACTAAATCGACGTGACTACAACGAAAATGCAATGCTCTTTTAAAAATATAATTAAACTTATAGTAGGGTGCTTTGCAGAAAAACTGTTTACTAGAAATATAATAATTTTGATGTTGTTCTGCTGTTTAAAGAACTTTTTTTGGACACTGTCACTCTTTTCCTTTTGAACGTGCCTTTCAAACATGATCCCCAATTTTCCATGCCCTTTGTGAGGGTATTTGGTACGACAAACTGGCTTGCGGGCCACACAAAAATCAAAGCGACAGCACCAACGCTAACTTGGTCAAGAGTCGCGGCCAATTTTTAACACACAGGGATGAGCACAAAAAAAGTAACGAGGGGGAAGGGTGGGGGCGTGTCCCGCAGCGTTCTGGCCGCAAATTGTTGCACATTGGCTAACAGACATTGACGTCGCATCGCTGCGTGGTGGAGTCGGTGGCATCGATGGCGAGTGCAGCCTGCAGCTCTGGTCCACTTTTCCACACAAGCACGATGACTCAGCCATGCAATGCAGTTTGTTCGGGCATCAGAGAATTCCGTTGGGTGCTTTTTAACACCGCGGAGTCGGAACTTGAATTCAACAAGAAGATTTGGGGTAGTATTATAACTATTGTTGTTATTGTAGTTACTATTACTTAATACCCATTGTTATGCTTATTATTGTTTCAGTAATATTCTTAGTGCTTTTGTTGATAATTTCGTTATTGTTGTGTAAACTTTACGTCACTGGAATAGGTTCAGCAACTGTCAGTGTTTATAGAGGCTGTTTTGTAGCTTTGGACACCGTTCTTTGTACGTATTCTAATATTTAGTTTTTTAGTCTACTGCTTGAAATTTGACTGGAATTTTTGAAACCGATATAGTGTCTGCGATAGAATTCTGTTCCATATTAGTAGACAGCTTTTAAGCTTTTAAACACAGATATAATTTGTAAAACACTATAAACAGTAAAAGCTGGCCACCAGAAGAGTGAAGACTCATTGAATTGATTAAATTGTGGAGTTAACTTTAAAAAGGAAAATAATTTTGCTAAAAATGAGGCCAATCTGTAAATAATTGGATAGAAATGCTGTGACTATGATGGCTTTAAGTTTTGCCCTAAATATTGTTTAATCTCTCAAATTGTTCACACTTTCGATTTTAAAAATGTATTTTAAATGTTAATATCTATCTAAATGAATATTGCCATAGTATTATGGGCTAACAGATGTATATAAAATATGAATAAATAGACAAATAGGGTGACAGGAAAACATTTTTGAATTGTGAAATTGTTTATAATTTTTATTTTGTAATTTTCGAGTACAGTGCTTGTAAAAATCTGAGCAAGTGCATGGAACCTAGTTTTAATTTTAGCTTCAACCTCGACTACTTGAGTCGTCACGTTAATGACTCAGAAAAGTGTCGCCAAAGCCTGACATAACAACATTAATTCTATAGCCCATGGATGATGGCGCTGGAAAGGTGTTTTATGTCACTGGGCAGACATCAGAGCGGCTTGTTTTGTGCGCCTCTTTTTATTCAGTTGCTAGTATTTAGTCTTTTTGTGAATGTACGCGCCTTTTAATGAACTGCTTCCTAGCTTTGCGCATTTATACTTTTGACACAAACACACACACACACATAAACACACACAGCTATAGGCTTATAGACAGTGGTTGGCATGCGAAGAGACAGGTATGTGTAATTATTTGTCACACCTGAGTTGCGACAATGAACAGCAGCGAGCGGAGCGGACCGGAGCTGAGCTGAGCAGACAACAAAAAAAGCGTCTCACTTGGCTGAGCGCATTTCAAACAAACAGCAAGCGAACCAACCACTTTTCTATACACAGATACAAACTCACACATATGTACATTCTTTATATATTATTATATACACTTATACTTTTATATGTGGTACACGCTTTATGTACTTCATATAATTTTATTTTTTGGTATACAAACGACGCATCGTCCATGTAGTCGAGTCGTTGATATTTACCTTTCAGGTGACGTAAGTTAGTCACTGAGACCGGCAGCCGGCAACGCTTTTGTTGAACCCACTGACCATTGATATGGTGATGGTGATGGTATACTGGTATATAGTATAATAAATATATATACTATAGTATACCATATGTATTTCACCGGATAGTGGCCATAGCTATCGCTTGATTGACAGAAACGCAACGCGGGCCACGGTCACACCCTCAATATGCATATCGAACGCCTTGATGCGTGTGAGCGTTCTAAAGAGTATTTTGGGAGGGATGGGGCAGGTTGTAGCTTTTGGCAAGGGGTAGAGGCGTGTGCCAGCCGCTAGCTCGCTCACCAATACGTGGTGGCATTGCACTGCCAAAGGAAATTACCTTGCTAGCCTTGATATGTCACAGAAACCATTGTCCATTCCTTCTCGTCCCTGTTCACGCATGTTGTTAATATGTATAATGGTGTCAAGGAAGTTATGTGTATACTCGTATATAACCTTCACATAAAGCATATGATTGATATGCAGGGTAGTGAACTAATGCTTTCAAAGTGATGTGTATATAAATCCCAGTTAATTATAGAAATTAGTTCTTGGGCTAATAGCTTGTAGAAAAATTCGAATGTTAATAATTGTTTTTTTTTTTTTTATCAAATTATAGTCAAAAAAAACAAAAGCTTATAGTGCTAAACTTATCTTGAAAAACTTAACCTATAGGTTAGCAAATAGACTTGAAAAAGTTTTGAAACAAGCGATTTTTTGTTCTGGAGAACTTCTTTTGAGTATTTAATCATTTATACAATTTCTCGGTAAGGAACATGAATTCATTAGAAATTAATTAATTCTTTAAGTGCTATAAATCGATACGAAAAGGGGAGTTGAGATTAGGCAGACTACTCAAAAATCGTGGATCAATTGCTGCAGTTTAGAAAAACCTCGAAGGTAAGCCAAGAAGGCCTGTCTGGAGTTTCTGGAATTGAAAACTGCAACAATGCAGAAGAGGGGGCTTCATTCCAACTTAGAGCAGGCATTATCATTTTTCATTAAACATCAGATTTGATTGCATCAGAACTACAACAGTGCAGCCGGTCACTGTTTGTTTGTATCTGAATTTTAAAGAAAACACTGCTGCCAACACTTATCTTCCCACTAGTTCAACTACTAATTACCATTATAAGTAGAACAACTAAAATACAAGTAACTTGGCAGAGTGAACAGTCACTTCATCATTTAACTCTTTGCTCATTTATTATAGTAGAACCTCTCTAGATCGCATATTCTGTTGTCTCGCTACCATTTAAAAACTAATTAATTGTCCCCTTCTAGCTTGCGTCAATCCAGCCTTATTAAGTTTTGTGCATTTGCATTAACAATTGAGTGCTGCCGGCTCTCAATTATTCAGAATTCTCGTTGTTTATCAACTTTTTAACGCTATTGTAATTCCGTTGATTGCTCTTGTCCAGCGCTCTGGCCTGTGGCTGTAGCTGTCGCTGTTGGGTAAATCACAATAAAGCTATAAAGAACGGAAACGGAAGCATTCGCCGTTGCGCACGCATTCAGGCGTTACCGCCAACACCAAAAACCGAAAGCCAAAAACACGTTTGTTCCCGAACTCTGATCTATCCATCTGTCCGCCGATACTCTATCCCTGACTCCAGCTACAATTGTATATGTGGGTGGCTTGGACAACTTTATTTTTTCGGGCAAATCGTTTGAGACACAAGCTGCGGTCAAAGTGCAATGGCCCGCTGTTTCAATCTTCGATGCAATCAAAATTCACAACTCTTGCTCACAAGCATGTAGCTAATAATTTCTTAATCTGGCATGCATTATGCATTTCTATGATTGTTTAGTTTGTTTATTGTTCTTCCGCCCGCCCCCTTCTCTGACTCCACCGGAGCCGGACCTGGCATTGTCTGTTTCTGTTAAATAAAAACTGGCAAGCTCATGCCGAGTAAGTGCCGCAATGACTGGCCTGACTGGTCGGAATTTTCTTGTCGCTGCCTCTTGGTCTTGGTCTCGCTCTGGGTCTGGGTCTTCCTCGACCCGTTGTTGTTGCTATTCATGTTGCTCTTGTTGTTG